CAACCCTGCTGCCACACAGCGACCAGCAACACACCTATAGGAACCGCGACGGCCCTCCGCGGGGTCGAGGCGCCGGCAAGGGCAACCGCCCCCGTTCCAGCAACTCCCCGACGCCCCCGCCACACCACAGCCCGAGGCAACCGCTGCAACCCCTCGACCCACCTGACAAATCTGGCAGGGCGGCCCCACGCGAGGCCTCAGGTCGGGCCTGCCTCCCTGCAGGTCGATTTGGGACGGATATTAAAACAAATAGTCCAACATAGTTTCTCAAACGAAATAAGCAAAAAGAGTCTACAAATCGTCCCAAGACTATCTTTTTACTATTTGGGAGTGTTCCTCCTGTGGAAAGGCAGGCCCGACTTAAAGTGAAGCCGGTGCTGGCCACCAGCCCCCTGTCGCAGGAGAAGGAGCAGGACCGCGGACCAGCACGTGCGAGCAGGCAGGCCCCCCATCCGACCAGCAGCCTCCCGGCCAGTCTGCCCGCGCCCTCCTGCCCAGCACTCAGGGTAAGGGGCATCTCTAGCCCAGTGGCCCACTGCCACATCCCCCCCCGCCTCCTGAGATCCTGGCGCTGCAATTTTTTCACAGCGGGCGTTTTCGCCCACTTTCGGGCCCCAGGACCCTCACAGATCGATCCGGCTCGAAAAATGACGCAGAAAGATGGGGTCCAAGGCTCTGGGCGTGATTTTTTGCGATGTTGATTTTTTTGCAACGTCGGATCTCAGGGCCAGCCCTCCGATGGCAAGTTCGACAACTCCTCGCCCACATCATAGTGGCGCACGCACGCCAGGGCCCTTCACCCCCCGATCGAGGACGCACGGGGGTCCTGGACTACAAGACGACGCAACGATGCCCTCATGCGTCAGGGGACTCCACGTGACCCCAGAGCATGGACAGAGCCCCTATCGAGGGAGTTCCTCGCCAGCATCTACGGGACCACCATCCCTGAGTCTGGGACCCCGAGGGGCACCGGAGAGGACGGCACACGCGCTGCACTGGCCTGCATTGGCTCACCTCGTCAATTATCTACACAGCCAGCGTTGCCACCCCACACCCTCAGGGGACCGCTCATGGGACGAGTGCAGGCAGTTGCATGACCAGCACGCAAGCCAGAAGGGACGCGACCCCGCTCGGTGCAAACAAGACTTGCCCCTCAACAACCTAGAGTCGCTAAACGTCCACGACCTGCACGCTCCCCGGCTAGTCGGATTCGACCCCAGGACTGGCCGGAGGCGACAACGCCCTGTCCACAACGAGATCGGCGCCTCCCCCGCCAGGGACACCAGCAACGCGGGCCCACACGACGGCGCCTCCGCTCCAAGCGGCACCGCGCCGCGCACCAGCACGCCCTTGTCCAAGCGGCCCCCGCCCGCGCAGCCCGTCCCGAGCCCTCAGCCCCCTGCCGCCCGCCCCACAGGAGGTGGGCGCTGCCGCAGGTGGAAGCGCCTCGAGCGGTGAAGGCCACCCGCGCACGCACCGCCAGGAGGCGCCGGAGAGCGAGCCCCCCGGTCGAGCCGCGGCGGGCGCGCCTCCCGACGCCTCCCCTGCCCCCCGGCGCTCCGCCGCGAGGCGGGGCCCTTGACGGGGGCACGTCCCCCGACCCGTGCGCACCTGCAAGCCCAGCACACCATAGGGGGGGGGGACTGGCTCCGCCCAGCCCGCGCGGCGGCCCTTGACGGGCGTCGGGCGCCGGGCCAGCAGCCCTTTTTTTGAACTCAGCGCTCCACCTCTGTATCTCGACATGGGAGGTCGAACGACCCGAGTACGACCAGCACGAGCACCCAGACGAAGTAGAGCAGCGGCACGAGAGGGACGTACAGCTGCGCCTCGATGAAGGCGAGGCCACCTCTAATGCGTGAGCAGTCCGATGGCGGCGCGCGGACCGACGCCCCCGATGAGCCTGCCCGCAGGGCTCTGCGTGCGACCCCGCACGCCCCGACAAGACCCCCACACGCCCAGGCCCGCGGCAGCCGGCGGCCCCCGAGGAAGCGACCGCCCCCCGCACCGCTCCCACCGGGCGGCCCTCCTGCCGGGTCGCTATAGTCCCCGCGATGCTCCCACCGACTCCCTGCACAGCAGGCCACGCCAGGCTATCAGTGGGCACCCGGTCTGGAATTACAGCGACAAGAGGGATGGAGTTCTGGCACGAGGTGCCGCTGCTGGGCCAAGGGTATCCAAATCAACTGGCAGCGGTCCTGGAACCAAGAGATGCAAAGGGGGGACTGCTCTCCCAGGCTTGGCAAAGGGAGAGGACAAGGCCCCGCGCCCCACGGAAAAAGCAAGAGGCGTGCCGACTCCACCTGGCCCAGCAATGATCACTCCAGGCAAGGGTGCCCGCGGTCCTCTAGTCGCCACTGAGCAGAAGGCCTGAGCCAGTCGCAGCCGCTCCCCCTATTCGTGGGTGGCCCCCTTCGCCACCCGCAGCATGAGCCTCGACCCCGGTCGAGCCGCTGCTCCCGCGTCCCCACACTACCCCCCTCCCTGGCCGGCTGCCCCTGCGGTCGGGCCGCTAACTACAATACAATGCACCAGTTCGGTGCGTCCCCCCCTCCATCGCCCGGCTTCTGGGCGCACCCCCCGCGACGCCGCTCCCTCGTCTGCGCCGCAGCCTCGCTGCGACTGCCCGCGCCGGGCGCTGTTCGCCGCCCCTGCTGGCCCGCCACCGTGGCAGTCCCAGGGATGCCCCGGACCTGGACTACGGCTGGCCCCGCCTCCCCCCCCCAGCCCTTCCCCACTGGATCGGCTGCCACCGCGACCTGCGCCTCGCTCGCTGTCGCGGCCCCGCCGCTGGGGCACCCATGAGTCCCTGCGCCACGCTGTGTGCTTGCCTTCCTGCTCCTGGCCGGCTCGCCAGCTGGCCAGCCGGCCGTCCTGGGCCAGGCACCGGGCTGGTTTTGCCGCCCTGGGTGCCGCGCCCCTCCCCCTCGCTTGCCGGGCGGAGGCGCCCTCGGCCCTCTGCTGGCTGTCGCGCTTCCGCCCCAGTCAGTGCCGCTGGGCATCGACCTCTGGGGCGCCTCGGTGCGTCTCTCTGCAGGAGGGCAGCTCAGTGCGCGCTCCGTCCCACCTCGCCTCCAGCTTTCGCCCTGACGCCACCTGTTCGGTGCTCCGCCCCTCGCGGCCGCCTCCGTGGCCCGTCGCCTTCTCCTCCCGCCTGGGGGCGCTGTGGCCTCCGCCGTTCGCCGCCGCCGCGCCTCCCCGCCCCGCCTCGCCTGGGCCTCCCTCCAATCGGAGGTGCCTCGTCCCCGCGGCCTCCGCCCTAGGCTGGGCCGCCCCCCCCGCCCCACCCCCGCCTGGGGCCGGGGCTGGTTCTGCTGCCCGCGCCCTGACCCGCGCGTCTCCTCCCTTTGCCTGGTTTTCAGGCCGACCCCTCCCCTGAGGCGGCCCTACGGGTCGCCGCCGGCCTGGGTGCCCTCATGGCTTGCGTCACCTCGGCACCATGTGGCCCCTGGCGCTGCGTGCGCACCTTCACGCCAGCCCTTCCTGGGCACTGTTCCCACAGCACGGCCTGCTGCCTGGCAGCCTGCCATGCCAGCTTCCCCCCCCCCAGCCGCCGCCCTGCTGCTGCTGGCCCCCGCCTCCGGCGCCCCCCTGCAGCCGCCTGGCCCCGCTCTGAGCTGGCCTGGCTTCCTTCTCCCTCCTGCCCGCGCCGGGCGTCCCTTCTCTCTCCCCCGTGCATTGCGGCCTAATTCGAATTCGTATGCCCTACCAATGCTCTTCCGCCAGCGCAGTCACTCTACCTAGCCGCCGTCGTTAAACAAGTGTGCGTGAATGTGTGTTGGTGGAATTGTGTGTATATAGGTTCTGGATAGCCTGACGCCGCCGCGCTGCTGTGACGTGCGCCAGTGCATTTTCATGTATAAACACAGTTAGGCATGTACACACATTATACATGTACGGGTATATACATGTGTACATCATTGCGTGCGCCCGCACAGTTGCATACACATCGGCACAAACACATCTATGTATACACATCTGCCTACATGCAATATGGTTGTCGTACGCTCACCTTGTCGGTAAAGAGCGCCCAGTACGGTAGGCACCCAAGAGAGCCCCGAGAGGGGGCAAACAGTCCCCAAAGAGCCGCCCAAGAGGGCGAATGCGAAGGGGCCTGTGGAGGCCCCCCACCCAAAGATGGGCCCCCGAGACGACCTCCAGGCTCCCCACAGGCTCCCCAGAAGCCCCGCACAGGCCCCCAAGGTGCTTCCAATAAGCTCCCGAGAGGCCTCCAGTCAGCCCCAAGGGGCGTCCCAAGAGACCCCCAGGGGCCTCTAAGGCTAAGGAAGCCCCCTATCCAAGACCCAGCCACGGTGGCGGGATGGACCGAAGGTAGATACATCATTGTGCAACAGTTACGCGGGTGGATGGAGTCTATTTTCAAATCTAGGCTCTCCTCTCCACTTTCGGCGGTGGACACATTTTCCTTTAGTAAACCACCCTTTAGTGAAAACGGCCTGGGACCGAAACCGACGTACCTGTGCCCGCAAAAATGACGGCGAACCGAAAATGGCCAATTCGCCAATCGACGTGTCAGGGTATGAGGTCTATCAACCTCCGACACTTCTTTGAACGGGGTCTTGCCTGAATGGCAGGCCTACGGGGGACTCGCCTTTGAAGAGGGCGCTTCCCGCGTAAACCAAGAAGCGTTCAGTGACTTATGAGGAGGCGGCTTGGGACAGAACGGTGTACAGCATCGTTGGTGCATCCTGGGCTTCCTCTGCTCGCCCGTCCTCCTCCTGGCTCCCCTCCTCTTCCTCCCCATCCCGCCTCTCTCCTCCCTCCTCCTCCTCCTCCTCCTCCTCCTCCTCCTCCTCCTCCTCCTCCTCCTCCTCCTCCTCCCCTCCTCCTCCTCCTCCTCCTCCTCCTCCTCCTCCTCCTCGTCCTCGTCCTCGTCCTCCTCCTCCTCCTCCTCCTCCTCCTCCGGCTCTTCCTGCGGCTCCTCCTCTGGCTCCTCCTCCTTCTCCTCCTCGGGTTGCTCCTCCCTCCCCTTGCCCCTGGGCCTGGCTCCAGTACGACCTCCACGCGTGAGCGGCCGCCGCCTCATGATAGCCCGGGCGCCAGCCCGGCGCGAACGGGCCTCCACGGCCGTCCGCCTGAACGAGGAGGAGAAGGAGGAGGAGGAGGAGGAGGAGGAGGAGGAGGAGGAGGAGGAAGAGGAGGAGGAGGAGGAGGAGAAGATTGGCGGCGCCACTCGGGGTACGGCTCGATGATCGGAGGTTCGAGGATCGAGCGTTCGAGCCTTTCGTGGCCTTCTGGGCATCTCCATTTCGCGGATCTGGGCCGGAGGCGGAGTGACCCTGAGATCCTGGCGTTGCAATTTTTCGCAGCAAGCGTTCTCGCCCAGGCTCCAGCCCTGGGGGTCCTCACATATCGATCCAGCTCGAAAAATGACGCAGGCAGATGGGGCTGGGGCTCTGGTCGTGACTTCTTGCGATGCTGTTTTTTTTTGCAATGTCGGAACTCAGGGGAGGGGGGGGCCTTTGGAGAAAGGCCAGTGGGCGCCGCAGGAGCGCCCAGTTCCTGCTGACAAGCCTTTCCATCACCGCGGCCGCCGCGCGCAATGCGACGAGCGAGCCATGGGAGAGCACGCGCCTGCAAGCAATGCTCGCAGCCACGCGTTCGCAGCCGGCCGCGCCCTGGCAGCTACAGCATGTTTGCGCGTTCCCAAACCCCCGACGTCCTGATTTTTGTTGCAACGTCGACCCCCAGAGGGCTGGACTCTTTCCCCAGGACCCGTTTCATCCAGATTCGTTTTTTGAATGTCCTGGGACCCAGGGAGGGCCACCTGAGGTCGAAAATCACGAAAAACCTTTTCCGTCGTGTTTTTTTCCTTCGCAGGTCGAGGGGGTCTGGGGTCGCCACAAGAGATCACACAATTTCCAAGGATGGGAGGCACAAATCTGCAGGAGACTCCCGCACCTGCTGAGAGGCCCCCCCCCCTGGGCGGCCGCGCGCTGCGCCCACGCGAGGCCCGAGAGGTCGAGTGCAGCCCGGCAGGGTGCCGGCCGCGTGGGGGCAGCATCGGGCCGACGCTGGGAGGCCACGTCGGGCGCTACGGCGCAGATGAAGGGTCATCGTTCGAGTAAGAGATAAGCTATATAATATCAGCCAGCGTTGATTCCAAATAGATAGTGGGTGATGACGGTGATGATGACGATGATGATGACGATGAGGACGATCCTGTTTTCCACACGCGCACACTCCAGTCCACTGTACCGTACCGTATTGGACCGTGCGGCCCAGCATCTGCGTCAGGGGCCATATGAATGAGGGGGGAGGGTGGGAATTAGGGGGGGGGCAACGGACCAGTTCGTAGGGTTTGAGTTAGAACTCCTATAGGGCAAGCCGATTTGGATAATATATATATATATATATGTGTATATATATATATATATATATATATATCTCGAGTTAACCCAGAGTGGGGACATTTCATCCAATCCATGGAAAGTCCGCCGTACACCTACGGAAATTCCACATGTCTGTTATGGAACCCTCCGGGGGAGCATTCTTCGGGTACGTCAATTCTGTCGTCGACCTCCTAGTCTAAGCAGCGATCGGCCGCAAGTGCAGACACGACAGTCTAGGAGGTACTTGTGCCAGCCGCCGTGTCCGGCGGCGCAAGACGACGCCCCGTCCCCGACCATCCATCCTAAAGGGGGGTGGGGGGTCGGAGGGAGGATGGTGGAACGGGGCAGATCTAGATGGTGCTGCCCGTATCGCTCTCAAGCTCTGGCGGGCAGACGGCCAGGTCGAAGAACCGCTCTCCCCCGAAAACCGTTCGCACATCGTGGCCGAATTTCCCAGCAAACCGCCGCCAGCCGCGCGTTGTGTGGATGGGCGCAACCCGCGTGCAGGAGGAGAAGGGACCCAGGGAAGAAGATCTTTGGGCCATCGGTCAGGGCTTGCCGAAGGGCACTGCACCACCGCCAACTCAGTCACCGGCCCGCTCCCGCAATTAGGGACCAGCCCGTGACTGTGTGCAGCCGAAACGCTTGAAGGGGCCCTGGGACACATCAATAAATAGACACAAATCCCAGGATTCTCAATATTTTTTCATATCATCTGAATTTTCGTGGTCCCATCCACTTCCCATCTTTTCCAATATTTTCCCGGGGATCGACGATTAATTGTGTCTGTGTGATTTTGTTTCCTCCTGGACGCTCTTCTACGTACTGTTCTGTCATGTCGTGCTCCCGAACGCGCCCACACTTGGCCTCGCTCCAGGGAGGCGTGTGGAACTGGGAGGGAATGCAGTCGCAGCTCACCTCCCCTCCTTCTTCCTCCTCCATCCTCGTCCTCCGCCCGCCCGCCCGCCCGCCCGCCCCTTCGCCTTCTTCGTCGTCGTACAGCGGGTGCGATGAGAGATCGGGTTTGAAGATTTCCGGGGGCACGTTCGCGACCCATCTGGGACCTTCCAGGAAGTGCCCCAGGACTTCTCTGGGTCCTCCGGTGCCTTTGGAGAAAGCAAGAAGCTCCCGCAGGGCACGCGAGGGCAGGCTGACTTCCCATCTGACGCGCGTGCAAAAGCTGTTGCCGTCGTAAAGCGATCCTGTCAGGCTCTGTTGCTCCACGGCCCTCTCCGGGGTGCGCTCTTCCCAGCCGTCCACTCATCGCCGATATAGGAGCCCGGTGGCCTTACCCCGCCCAAGAGCGTGCGAATTCGCGATCAAAGGACCTACCGAGATTTCGAGGCGCATCCAGCCGTGGCGACGAAGGTACCACAGCGGCACCCGGACCCCCTCCTTCTCCGAGTGCTCCTCCTCCCCTCCTCCTCCTCGCTCCTTCTCCCCCTCGCTCGCTCCTCCTCCTCCTCCTTCTCCTTCGAGCTGATGGCACGTGTATCTGTCGGATGTTGCCCACCCCCCGGCGGACATCGCCACCGAAAGGGTGAACAACAAACGCAAGAAAGGACCTGGCCCCGCCCCCTGGGCGCCCTGGGCGCCGTCCGCGCTCGACAAACGAGGCCGGGCCACAGGCTTACTCTGCGACCGGGGGGGGCCTCCTCGTCCTCGAAGCCACCCATCCTCCAGCGATTGTTTCCTCGTCCGTCGCTCGGCGTTGCAGTCGGTTGACTGGGGGTGGTGGCGTGTCGAAACCCTCGAAGTGGCAATGGCCAGGTCGCGCCAGCACGGCTGCGCCCGTCTGGTTCAGAGCTTGTCGCGAATCATGTGTCTGTAGGTTGACGACCGAAAAGTCGAACCTAAAGGATTGCCGTAGGTAGAGGGAGATCAAGGAGAGGGTAGCGATCCCTTTTCCCACGCGCCGCGGGCAGGTGGCGCTGTACCTGTTTCCAGTACCTGAGCCGAGAGGGCAGCAGTATATATGGATACGATGATGAGATATGAGCGGACTTCACACACAAATCATCCGCCCCTGCTGTCATGGGACCCTTCCGCCGCCTCCGCCGTGAGCTGACCGCGCGCGGCGAGGCAGGCTCCGGGTTGGCGGCCGCGCGCGGCCTGGGCCCGGCAAGGGCCGCGGGTTCTTTGGCGGTTCGCCCCCGACCTCCATCCAGACACAAAGAAAAAACCACATACAGTGAACATAAACTTTTGGCGCTGCGCGCGGATTTCTTGGATCTGCGCTGGAGCCCCCTCCCTGGCGCGCGGAGCGCGCCAGGAGCGGCGCCAGAGGCGCCGCCAGCGCGGATCCAATAAATCCGCGCGGAGCGCCACAAGTTTCTGTTTGTGTGGTTTTTTCTTCTTCGAATCCTGCCTCGGTGCTTTTTGTAACCCTTCTTCGGACTTAGCACCAACCCTCTGCTGCTGGGAGTGCGCTGGGGAAGCGAAGCGGCGCAGGCTAGTGACCCAGCGATCTGGCATGTGGCTTCGAATGCGGGCCTGCGATTGTGGGAGGTCGAAGCTGTGCTACCAAGTGCGGTGGGCCAGGCAAAGGGAGAAGGAAGGGAGAGAGGGAACGAGTGTATGCCGGGCCGGAGGCAAGATGGAACGGCATGCCTGTGCGCCACGTGCGTTGTTATGCAATCTGCGTCGGTGGCCTGTGATTGTGGCAACTAGGCGCCACGCAACAGATCTGCGGCTGGCGTGCCCTCCTCCCCCCGTGAACCCCAACTCGCCCACCCAAATCCCAGCCCACCCAGAGCAGCACCGTCGACAGGCGCAATCAGAGGCTCCCGGATGAAACAACTCGCTTTTTTGAATTAGCAAGTTTCGTTTTTGCCTGGGGACCCGCCAGACGCGCCCCGCGGCGGCAGTTGCGGCGGCGGGCAGTGGTGTGATACTGGCGGATACAGGCGTGCGCTGGCGTTGGAATGTCGCATCCAAGGTGGGAAAGCGCTGCGTTGTTTCAGGCAACGCCTTCGCACCCAAAAAAGGTTACCTGACATACTGGCCACCTGTTTGGTCGGCTCGCAGGCGAGAGCTGGAGGGATTGCCGCGGCGAGGGGGCCGCAAGAGGGCCAACAGGCGGTGCCAGGAGCTCCACGTCTGGCTGGCATCGAGGCCGTCGGCCCTCGGGGGGCGCTCTCGCCAGCAGTGGCCCCACGGCGGTCGCAGCAGCAGCAGCTGCTCCCCCTTGAGCTCCTCCAGGTGGCTGCCAGCCGCCGGTGGGGTACTCCATGCAGCGGCAGGGGTGCTCCACGTAGTGGCGGGGGGCTCCCCCCTCTCCTGGCTGCTCCACCTCTTCCCCCTCGTTGTCGCCATGGGCGTTGGGGTCAACAAACATGGCGGCGCCGCAGGTGCAAAGGACGGGACTTGGCGCTAGCGGTGGCGCAGGCGTTGGCGTTGACCAACATGTGAGCGGGCCGTGTGGCGCGGGGCGCCTGCCTCAGGCGGGAACGAACTCCAGGTCGTTCCTGTTGAAATTACTCGTCCCGGTGTTGGTGGCGGCATCGGGTCGGAGACGGCGCTGGTGTAGATGCAGGCGTTCTGGTTCTTTCTGGTACGTTGGGTTGCCTTGAGGGCTGGGGCACAGGATCATGGCCAAGTCTTTGGGCGAGATCGCGGCGATGTCCTTGCCCTTCCGCGCCGCGTAGGCGAATCGGCGCTTCGCCGCGGCCCAGGGATCACGGTCCCCGCGTTGACGAACCCAGTCTTACCACGGGTTTCTACGGTGTGCACGCTGCAGCCTT